TGTCCCGGGCTGGATTTGAACCCGCCACCTTAGGTGTATGTGGCTGGCGCCCTAGCCACTTGAGCCACAGGCACTGAGCCCAAATGTGTATTCTTTTAACTTGTCCTCTCCAGCTTTAATACTGAAAACTATAAATGGTTGATAATGATGAATTTTTTTCTGCTTTCTGCTTACAAAAACAGATAAATATTTTTTTAAATCTTTTGCTGGATTGTCCATTTTAGGCCCTTTTGGGGCAGTGTCTTCCTAAGAGCTCTCAGGAATTTCCATGACTGCATCTTATTAATTGTTAAATTATTTCCTACCCATAAAAGCCTTTCATAAGGCTTCTCTTTTTATATTATTTCCAATGCTGGTCTTAAAATGAATAATATAGACAGGAACAGGATGGTGTCCAGCCATTTAGGACCAGGATCTTATTACTTTTGAAGTTTGATTATTGATGAATAGTAATAAAATGCAGTGTTTCTATACCAACTATAATTTCAACATAAAAACAAATATTAAGAATAATTAGGCCTTCATAGAAATTTCCCGAAGGTAATTTTTATTATCAAATTATGTTTTGATATTACATAGGAACTTATTCAAGGAAATGAAAAGTAATTATAACAAATGATTTTCTTTAAAATCTCAGGGAAAAGTATAGTAATATATGTATAATAGCTCAATAACTTTTTACCAAAAAAATCTGTATTACCCAAAGTTATCTTTATTTTGTACCTTAAGTTTAAAACAAAGTTTGTATTTATAAATTAATCATTAAAAATGTTTCTTTTTTTAAAGTCATCAATCCATATATATTGTTATTAGAACCTATAACTGAGGGTAAAACTGCGTGGTTATCTTAAGTGCCTTAACTCAATAACCATAATGAAAAGGAGCCTTAAAAACCTACCAAGGCATAGAAAATAGCATTGTTTTCAAAAACATATAAAATTCACCCCTGGTCAGTGTGTATCTCTTAATTTTAGTAATTTATACAATTACACCACTATCTCCACAAACCAGTTTTAGAATGCTTCCATTAATCCAAACAGTTAGGTTCTGCCAAAATGCAATCACTCCTCTCTCCCACAAGTGCCCTTAAATGACCCCTTTGATCTGTCTGAAAAGCAGTGATTTTCAACCCATGTGCCATGCCACACTGGTGTACTGTGAGAGGATCTTAAGTGTGCTATGAAAATTTTAAAGAGCATTAATTAAATTATTTTCAAAAGAAGCTGAAAGCACAGTAAATATATTCTCTTTTTTTAAACTCTTTTTTTCTGATCCACATAATTTAAGTGTGCAAGGGAAGTTTGACTATAGGTTCAAGTGTGTCATGGCATAGAAAATGTTGAAAAACACCGCACTACAGCATAGCTTCTCTCTCTGTAGTTTAGTTTGTTCTGGAATTTCAGATACATGGGGCCATGCAGTATGTATCTTTTATATCTGGCTTCTTTTGGTTACCATAATGCACTTGAGATTTCACCTGTGTAAGTAGTATGTGATCAATAGTTTGCTTCTTCTTAATACTCAGTAATATTCTATTGTATGACTATACCTTGTTTATCCATTTACCAGTGTCTAGATGTTTGGTTTATGTACAGTTTTGGTCTATTATGAATAATTCCCTGACTAACACAAGTGATATAATTTATAAATCCTCCAAATTTGTTCTTTTTTTTTCTGAAACAAAATCAAATAATTACTCTTTATTCACAATAAATAAGCCCCTCTACTTACAAGGAATATCTGAAAGTAAACACTGTCCTCCTCTCCTATCGTTCTGGCTAGGCTAGGTAGATGGTTTGCACCAGGGCAAAAATTTTGCCATCGGTTTGTCAAGTTCTATGAAAAAGCCTGCTAGTATTTTTTATAGAAATTTCACTGAGTCTGTATGATTTGATGAGAAGGGTGATTTTTGAACTATTGAGTCTTTTGAGCTATTTTCATAGTAATTTGTCCCATTTATATAACTCTGTCTTGATTTTCTCAGCAGGGTTTTATAGTTTTCCATGTAAAGGTCATGCAGGTTTTTCATTAAATAAATTCCTAAGCATGTTATTCATTTTAAGCTATTTTGAATGAAAGGGTTTTCTTTTTTATTTCAAAATATTAAGGGGTTCAAATGTTCTTCTTACATGGATAGCTTTTATAATGCTTCAATCAGAACTATTAGTGTACCCATCGCGTGAATAATGTTCATTGAATCTCTTAGGTTTTTACCCTTCCTCTCCTCCCCTCTCCAATGACTTCCAATGACTTTCACTTCCCTCTGTGCCCATCAATTAGTTCTAAATTTGGAATGGCTTTATTAATTTCACTTTCAGATGGTCTGTTGTCAATATCTGCTATTAATACATGCAAATATAATTGAATTGTTACACTGATCTTATTTCTTTCCTACACCATTACTAATCTTGACTATTAATTCTAGTAGCTTTATTTTAGATTCTTTAGAAATGTATACATATGT